GCATTATGGACAAGAAGCTACCATTAGGACAAAATATGGAGAAACAGAATGGTGTCCTATAGGCAAATGTGTCAGAAAAACATGCATATCCCCTTATCTGCTCAATATGTACTCAGAACACATCACATGGAAAGTCAGACTAGATTCAGATGAATGAGGAATGAAAATTGGTGGAAGAAACTCAATAATTTAAGATACGCAGACGACACCATCTACTGGGAAAAAGCAGCAATGAAAGTACCAAAGCAGGACTGCAGTTGAACATTAAGAAGTCAAAAGTCATGACTACAGAACTACAAAACTTTAATGATGACAATGAAGAAATGGAAGTAGTTAGAGATTTTATATACCATTGTGGTGGAACCCTCATTAACCGAGCAACAGTTACAGAAAGAAAGGCATTGGCTGGAAGAAGTCAGAAAGAATAGCCAATCCAGAAGAGCGAGTGGGAGGTATAAAAAGGAGAGCTGAAGATGAGGAGGGAGCAGAGGAGTTACAGTGGGGTCTTGACTTAAGAACGGCTTGAGTTAAGAACATTTTGACTTAAGAACCGCTCTCATAGGGAAATATTGACTTGACTTAAGTACTTAGATTTGAGTTAAGAACTGAAAAAAAACCACGTGGGAGGCAGGGAAAGTGCAAAATGTGAACTTTCAATTAACTGTTAGCCAGTGAAAAGGGTGCCTGTCTGCTTCCTCCCTCCTCCCAGCGTTTAGAGAGTGGATTGGGAGACAGTCTTCGGACTGCCTGGTACTGTACTGCCTGGACTGTATTTTCCCTGCCTTCGCTGAACCTTTCTTGACCTAAGAAAAAAAGAAACAAAATATCCCCGTCTAGTGGTCGAAGGCAGAATAGCAACTTCCCATTAGTTTCTATGGACAGAAAAGAGCAGATACAGATCAAATGGTTTTCAATGCATTCCTATGGGAAATGCAGATTTGACCTGAGAACTTTTTGACTTGAGAACCACCTTCCAATACGGATTAAGTTCTCAAGTCAAGACCCCACTGTAAATTGTATCTAAGGAAAGGACTTTGGATTTTTCCAGTAGACTATACTGTACACAGTATAAGATAATTACCTTGCAGCAGAGAGAGCTAGTTCTGCAGTGGGAAAGTTGACACTTATAATTCATGTAAACTTAAGCTTAAGAATGTGCACTTTAACAGTTGTTATATTTCAATAAAGATCTCATTTTTATATTTCAGTTTTAAAACTGATCGGTCTTTCATGAATTGGGCTTAAGGCAAGCCCAGAGAAAGTAAAAGGCAGTTGGAAAAGCTAATCAAGTGTAAGAATGTGTCACTGGAGACCAAGATCATCTACACCAGTGGTTCTTAACCTTTGTTACTCAGATGCTTTTGAACTGCAACTCCCAGAAACCCCAGTCAGGACAGCTGGTGGTGAAGGCTTCTGGGAGTTGCAGTCCAAAACTCCTGAGTAACCCAAGGTTAAGAACCAGTGATCTACACTATTGTATTTCTGATCACCATGTATGGGTATGAAAGCTGGAGAGTAAAGAAACCTGACAGGGAAAAAAATATCATTTGAAATATGATGCAGGAGGATTGCTTTGTAGATGCCCTGGACTGGGAGAAAGATGAACAAATGGGTCCTAGAGCAAATCAAGACTGAACTATCTTTGGAGACAAAAATGATGAAACTAAGGCTGCCGTTGGGAGGAAAGCGATGACAAACCTTGACAGCATCTTAAAAAGCAGAGAAATCACCTTGCTGACAAATGTCTGCATAGTTAAAGCTATGGTTTTTCATGTAGTGTTGTGTGGAAGCGAGAGCTGGACCATAAAGAAGGCTGACCGCAGAAGAATTGATGCTTTTGAATTGTGGTGCTGGAGGAGGCTCTTGAGAGTCCCGTGGACTGCAAGGAGAACAAACCTATCCATTCTAAAGGAAATCAAGCCTGAGTGCTCACTGGAAGGACAGATCCTGAAGCTGAGGCTCCAATACTCTGGTTATCTCATGAGAAGAGAAGAGTCCCTGGAAAAGACCCTGATGTTGGGAAAGTGTGCGGACAAGAGGAGAAGGGGATGACAGAGGATGAGATGGTTGGACAGTGTCATCGAAGCGACCAACATGAATTTAACTCAACTCCAGGAGACAGTGAAAGACAGGAGGGCCTGGCGTGCTCTGGTCCATGGGTCACGAAGAGTCGAACATGACTGAACGACTAAAGAACAACAACAAAGGCTGCCATACTTTAGACACATCATAAAAATGCAGGATTCTCTGGAAAAGATAATATTGCTGGGAAAGGTTGAAGGCAGCAGGGAAAGAGAAATAACAAATCCAAGATGGATTGATTCCCTCAAGGAAACCACAACTTTGAGTTTACAAGAGCTGATCAGGGCTATTGAGGACAGGATATTTTGGAGATTGTTCATTCATGAAGTTGCTATAAGTCAAAGGCAACTTGACAGCATGTAATAACAAGTAACCAGGAGTAGGTTTTTCTATAGAAGGACTCACAGGATGCTCAGTAAAGTAACGGGGAGTCAACAAAATCCTCCTAAGCTGAGCAGTCTTTAATTGTAAGTCCTTTATTGTTTTTAAACTGTCATTTTGCAACTTTTGCAGAGTGTGGGCTGCATACAAGTCGAATAAATAAATAAAAATATTTTAATTGGTGGATTTTAGGATTCTAAAACACAAGTAAAGTGATCTTGTGTGTGTGAGAGAGTGTCAGTGAGCCGTCCTCCCCTAGAAATGTGCAGGAGGAAGTTTGTGGATGTATAGAAGGGATACTTATAGATATAGAAGAAGGGATGACAGAACGGAAGGCAATAGAGGTGTGTTTGTCGGAAGATCAAGGGGAGGAGAAAGGGGAGGAGCAGGATTTGATAATATGGGAGGTAATAAAAGGAGATGATGCGCAAGAATTCAGAATTCAAACGGAACAGAGAGGGAGGGAGACAAGACTGTGCAGTACAGACCAAAAAAGAAGAAGCCTCAGCTAAGGTCTGTAACGTGTTAAAAGACTTCCCTAACTTGAAGACTGGCGGAGGATTGCTGCCAGATCTGGACTTACCCAAGGAGGAGAAGAAAGGGACAACTCATTTAGAATGGACTGTGGTAGTTTACCCCCACAACCAAGGTGGGGGAAGAGAGTGATTTGTCCCAGTCCCTCCTACAACCCTCCACCACTAGAAGGGGACTGGGTGAGACACCCCTGTTATGGGACGGTATGCGTGGTCAGGAGTACCCCATCGAGAAGAATGACGGATCACGAGCGCTTTGGTCCAGCCCCAATGTGAGGAGTTGTTAACTCCGGGAACAAAAGTTTTGAGTTACAAGATGTTGCCAGAATTAAGCTGTTTTGAGCTTTTTGATTTGGTTAACCTAGATGTTGAAGTTAATAAAGTTGAACCAGTTGAATTTTCGAAATCGTCTCCATCTTATTCCCACCAAAATTAGGGAACCGTCACCAAAACATGAAGAACCCGATCACATCCTGTGAGTCTGAAGTCTGCAGCTTTTCTTTAGAAAGGCCCTGAGCAAGTTGTATAAATAACATAGCTAACTAAACAAGGCCTATTTGAGATTTCTT